AAAGAAAATAGATTGGAATTAAGATATTTGTGTGACGGCCATTTAAATATTTCTCTACAGAGAGACAAATATTCCCTTCAGAGAGAGGTAGAGGGAAACTGCAAACCAATTTGGACAAATTTTCCCTTGATGAAAACACTGAAGTCATAGGTCCAATGTAGCGCCTTTTTATTTTTGTATTTAGGACTGGGTGTGCAGGTTATACAGGGTGTGCAGGGTGTGCAGGGTGTACAGGGCCTCACTGCATAGACTGGACTCAGACAGCCAGCAGACAAGGAGACCTAGCTGTGCTGATCTCAGGTCTGGGTCTTCAATTATTCCATTGAATAACACTCGTGAGGCCTTATGAATGAGCACTTAGGAGTGCTCCATTCTTGCCATCTCAAGTTCAGCTTGTACTTTAGGGCTACGAGTGCTCCTGATAGACAGTTAGCTCATGGCTTTTTATCTAGTTGAAAAACTACAAGTTTTAGTCAAATCGATCCAAGTGTCAATTCTACTTCTTTTTCTTCCCAGCTGAACAATTTTGCTTCACTCTGAAGCCAAGTATCCACTTGTTACTAATGTAGGGCCAATGATACCTATTTCTTGGGTGACTCAGAGGATTCAATGTACATATTCTATCTAACATTCCTAGCACAGGGCCGGATACACACGGTTTTTCCCTTTTTTGTTCCAGAAGTTTTTCTGTAAAAAATGTTGAAGTATTTTCTGCCTGCGGTGATATGCTCTTCTGTGTCTACTAGTGAGACATGCTGATACGCAGACTTGGGCATTAAAATGCCTCCTTCATTCTGGAAATTCTCATTTTAGGAACTCATGATCATTCTGTCAGGGTGCAGACTGAAATTCACTGTCAGTCTGACTATATAGGAGTAGAAGGTTAAGGTGGAAAAGGGAGGAGTGGCATGACTGAATTCAGTTTGTATTTAGAGATACATTCATGAACATCACTGGTTTTGCTTTATTTGAAGTAGAATGTAACTGAAAAAATGCGGTATGCTAAGAGAACAATTATACTATTGAGAAAAATATCCATGATATTTTAATGTCTGAATGCAGCCATATAGATTCTGGGGAAACAGCTGTATCCAGGTGTGGTGGCACACACCTGTCATCCCAGCACTTGGGAGGCTCGAGCAAGAGGATCATTGCAAGTTCAAGACCAGTCTTAACTACAAAGTGAGCTAAAGGTCAGCCTGAGTTGCATAGCAAGACCCTGTCTCAAAAAGGCAAACAGCAACAACAACAACAACAACAACAAAAAGACTCTGGGGGAAGAGACATGAATTTCTAAATACAACTACATACTTGCCAAGTTGGTGATTGTATAAGAGCTATTTGTTCTGAGCTGTTCTGAGTATGTTTCTGATGCCAGATACCACCCTTAGAAATTGCTCACTTGTATATCAGTTTCACATTTTCTCATTTAAATGTTGGAATTTGTTGTACTTTTATGTAAGACTCCCATGGTTTCTTCCTAAGCAAAGAATGACCTTGCACATTCCTAAAACAAAAAGATTTTAAAATTTTATCCCAGTGTTTGGGAGGCTGAAAACAGGAGAATCTATGAGTCAGATCTATGTAGTGAGACCCTGTGGACCCTGTCCTAAATTCATAAACAAAAACTGAAATGTTATGAGTACATTACAAGGACAGTTTGGAGCAGCTGAAGATTGGAATTGAAATTTAGTCTGATAGTTTTGAAGACATTGCAGATTCCTAGCCTAATACTTCTTACACTAAAAATTTTAAGATATGAAGCCTTAAGTGTCATTTCCCACTAACAATTCTTTCCTAGCTCGCTTGGTCTTTGCTCATATGCCCACTGACTTCTGTCATGTGCCATTCAATATATGTTCCTCCTTCCACATTAGAAGCAGTTGGTCAAAGGGAGAATAAAGCAAGGGAGGGGATCCCACCATGGTCCCCCTCTTAGAGAGCTACAGTATCAGGCAAGTATGTATTCCTGTGGGTCTCAGTTTTCTTACCTGTAGATAAAAAAAAGAATAACATCCAATTTACCAGACTATTGTAGGATTAAATCCTCAATTTCTCAGGATCTGTCCTACAGAAGGTTACCCTGAGATTCACAATGGTAAATACCATATACTGTTATCAGTACTAACTTGTACCTACAGAATTATACAAAATACTACTACTACTACTACTACTACTACTACTACTACTACTACTACTACTACTGACTACCACCACCACTACTAGTAGTACTACTAATAATAATTCTACTAACCTGTGCCGGAATATGCTGAGCCATCAAAGATTAAAAACCATTAGGTCCCTCACCACTTCCTTATTCACATTTGTACTTTAAATCTCTATTACTGAGATAGCTGGTAACCATGGAAGTGCATAGATAGGAGTCAGGAAGATTGATCACATTCTCCCCAAATGAGCTCAAGCCCCACAGAGGTTCTGGGCTGAAGTGATTCAAGAGCTCCTGATGGTGATCCTAAAACTTTGCTTTACAGAAACATTTTCTTCAAACTAATCTCTTTTGTATTAAATTAAAAGTTTATTTGCAAACAGGGTGAGAAAGGACTGAGGTGAAGAAAGCATTTTCAGTTGTACTTAGAATGCACCAGAAGTAGTTAAGTTCTCCTGTACAGTGAACAGAAAGACAGAAACTATGGTTTTCCCTGAAAAGCATTAGAAATACAAAATGTTTCCTCCCTGGTGGTTAAAACCACAATGAAAATAATATACTTTGGAAAAGTAATACAGAGATAGAACTCAGTGAGTAAAAGATTGACTGTGGTGTCCCTAGCTAATGAATGAATAGAAACCGAGTGAGAGAACATATGGACCTTGGTACTGTTTACAGCAGGATGGAGATCATTTCATCCTGCCAGTCACAGCCAAGTAGAAGCACTGATGATAACACACTACATGTTTTTTTGTACTTATGGCATCAATTTGATTTGTCATTTAATTAAATAGTCAAATTAGGGAGAGTCCGTTTTTAAAAAAACTGTTCCTAAAATAGCTTTATAAAATCAGGTTAGATATCTATTGTATCCCCTGAGGGTAAGAACAAGCAAAAGGGAAAAATGTGAAATTAGAATGTGACCTATAATAGCTACTTCACTGGTAAAGATGGTATAACCTCTATCGTTAATTAGAGCCCAGGTTGATGCCTAATTTCATTGGCTGCCTTACCAATTTAACTAAGTAGAAATAGGGAAGCACCTGGCTAGGGAAAGAAAGTGTTCTGCTGTCTTCTTTCCTCTTAAGTGAAAGCCAACCCATTAGCACAGATTGGGAAAATAAGCTTCAGCTCATTATTTAAAAGTAAATTTCCCAAAACTGACTTGAAAAAAGCCACTCAGCTATTCCATTGCTTGCTATATATTCAGAATTGTGAAATAGTTGAGTTACTTTCCTTTTTTTATCCACCAATATTTAAGCGGTCATTCTGTGCTAGCTTCAAATCATCACTTTATGGGATTAAGTGATGCTTCTTCCCTCAGCTGCAAACTGTCACAGGTCATGGTTTACAGATTTAGTAGAGTTCTTGGATGCTCCATGTGTGAAGGCCAAGAACTCCCTCACAGGAGATTGCCCAGGTGGCACCCAAAGCTTACCTGGTTCTGTTTCCTACATACACTGGACTTGAAAGCACCAACACTGCATTTACTTTCTTGGTCCTCTAGTCTGCTTTTATGCTACAAGTCATCCTGAGTATGTAGAAACTTGAGGATAAGTTTCACTTTGATATAGGGGCACCAGAGATTTCTCAGAGCTGTAGAAGAGACCTGCACACAATTCTAGAAGTCTCTGGGCTGGGAGCAACCAGCAGAGTAGAGTTCTAAATGGCAGGAGAAATTCACCTAGGCCACTTACACGCTTGCCCCGGCGTCAACAAATGAAGCTTCTAGCTCAGATACTCACTGTTTTGTTGCTGCAGCTTGAAATAACATCTGAAATTTTCTCCCTAGGCCCCTTAGAAATGGGAAGGAAAGTGGTTATTTTTTTAAAGTGTTTCACAAAACAGGGAATTTGACAAAGAAAGCTCTTGATCTGATCATCTGGAAGTTCTTTCTATTCATTTTTCCTTGAATCTGCTCATCTGGCACCTGTTTCCTTAGTCCCATTTTACAGTCTCATCATTCCTTGTCTGACAACATGTCCATGGCAGCAGCTGCCATCTGGAGCAGGCTTTCTTTCTTTTCTCTGCCTTAATTCACATTTTCAAGTGAATCTCTTGTCCTCCAACTTTATATTTAAATCTCCTCTCTAAACCCTTCGTGGAAATGGTCTCACACCTAAACTTAGCTCCTTCTGTGCTAAAATTCATATATGCATATCTTATGTAATCCTGAAACATTTAATTCTGCCAAACTCTGTATATATAGTATTTGGATGAAAACCATCAATTGTACATAAGTCATGCTGTTTTCCATTAATCATTTACTTGTCTCAGTAGATATGTCCACAATGATATACAGACTAGTCCAAATCTGAGCATATGGATGGTATCTAAAAAGGAATCGTGGAATAATCTACTTTGAAACATTCCACATTTTATACTTGAATGAAAAATGTAGAAATTATAAGAAAAATCAAGTCTTAACACAACATTTACAGAAAAGTGATAATGTAATACCTAATATATATGCAAAATCATATTCAGTTATGCATGGGATAAATATACTTTTTTCTTTATATGAACCCCTACCAGATTCTGGTCAGTAATATTTAAAATATAGAAATCCTATTTGACAAAATGTCTTAATTAAAATAGATACTTCTAGCTTTGTGCAGTGGCAGTATCATAGCCAATGAGGTTTATCCGAGGCGTGATTATTGCTAATTAAAATAGATACTTCTTCCCTTAGAAATAGAATTCAAAACTTTTTAGGACCTAACTTTCAAAGACAACATGCTTGGCTGATTTATTGATTGCTGTTTCCATGGATGTGAAAACTATTGCCACCGCAATTAGCATGAACAATATAAATGATACATTATTGCAAGTGTTCTAAAAAATCAGAACAAAACTAATTTATTATAGTTCTGTCTTCTTTATACACCACATGTTGGTGAGTTAAACACAACAAAATTATCATCTTTTTTAAAAGTGTCTACTAAAGATAAAAAGAATAAAGTAACAATTAACATGTAGTTTGTTACATTAAAAAATCTGATATACATATTTCTATTGCCTGTTAGCTTGTTCTAAGCCTCTTTAACTATTACAAAAAAGAGGAAGAACTAAAGTCATTGTTGAAAGGCGAACATTCAATTCAGTTGATACAACATTACAGTACAGTCAACTAACATCATTCAACAAAGGTAACAAGTCTAGTCTTAGCTTCTCGAGTTAAGTCTGTAGACTAGATTGCTACAGAAGGTTCAATGCTGCTTCAAAACTGTATGTTAGCTTTTTGGAGGACATAGTACTTTCTATTGATGGCTTCTGAAGAAGGGGTCATGCTATTGGTAAAAGCAGAGGGGAACCCCCCCACCTGTCATTAATCATTTTATTGAGCATTGTAGTTAGGACAGCATTATTAAATTTAGCACAACAACTAAAATAAAATAATAATAATATAATAATAATCATAATAATGATAAGAATAAAAACCAAACACTAACTGGAAGCCTAGAGTTGCTGCCAGCGTGTCAAACCCTTGCGATACGCTATACTAAAAAAATTTGAAATATCCACCCATCCTCTCCACTCTGCCACAAACTAGCAAAGTCAGAAATACAAAAGTCTCCAACTTGTTACTTTTGCAGAATAAAGCAAAAATGTCTTTGTGCTCCTTACTACCAGAAGCAAAATATTCAGAGTTACCACATGTAATAGCTTCTGGATGTGTCAACCTGGGTTGGCTTGGTGTCTGCAGAACCATCTTTGTCTTTCTCACTGTCTCCTTCCCAAAGGTTAATGAGTGGTGGGTACAGCTCATTGAGTGGAATTGAAGATGTTTTTTGCATATACTTTTTTAGTGAGTGATGATAGTTTTTTCTCTTAAATCTTTTGGCAATGTACACGGCAATGGACGTCAGGCTGATAACTGCGAACATGGACCCCATCACGGCAGCAAGGGCTGTACTGGTTTCTTGATCAGAGATATCCAGTGCAAAGGCAGCGTTTTTGGTTGTGACATTTACACATGACTTTTGAGTCTGCTGATGAATATTGGACACTATGAGACACACTTCATAATCTGTAGAAGGCTGCAGATGTGTTAAATTGTATTCATGGACATCTACTGGGACTCTGGCTGTGTAAGTGATGTGAGTGTTGTCAATCTTCATGGTAGCAGATGACCATTTTAAGTTTGATGTCATGACATTGGAATTAACTTTCCAGGACACTAAAATGGAATGTGATTCTGTCTGCTTGACATATATTTTTAGTACCTGCGTGCCATCCAGAAGAGTTCCATTAACTTTAATTGTTGCAACTCTAGTGTCTGCCCCTTGGACGTTCTGGGCAACGCATGTGTATCTTCCTGAGTCCTCAATCTGTATGTTAGATATTTCCAGTGTTCCTTCACTACTTAGTTTGTATTTATCTGAAAGGGTTTCCACAGTTATTTTATTTCCAATGGGAGTGACCCAGTATATTTCAGGTTCTGGCTCAGCCATGGCCCGACAATCTAGTAAAACTGTTTTGCCAATATCCATGTTTAAATGATTTGGGAATGTGTCACGAGATATCATTGGAAGGCATTGTTCATTTGAATCCTGGATTAAAACTTCCTTCACCTGTTGCCCTCTGTATTCAGGGGGCAAAGCGCAGAACATGGACAAGGGTTCCATAAAGCGGATGTTGGTTTTGTTAGAGTTAATCCAGTGGATGACACAGTCACACCTGAGGGGATTGCTGTGGATACTGATCTCACGCAAATTGGGAAGGGATTCTACTGTCTTTTGGTAAACTGCATTCAAAGCATTGTTATTCAACATTAAACTTTCCAGGGCAGGAACACTTCGAAAAGCCAAGCGATGGATGTAAGATAGTTTAGGGTTATTGGTGGCTTCTAATTTTGTGAGTTCAGGCAGGTTATCCAAGGCATAGCGGTCCACAGAAATGAGTTCTCCCATGTTATTTATTCCTAGTTCTTTCAACCGAAGCATATTTTTAAAGTCCCCTTCTTGGATTTTGTGAATGGGGTTTTTGTTAAGGTCTAAGAATTTCAGATTTGGGACTTTTTGCAGGGCAAGTTGAGGGACTTTGACCAGTTTGTTATCATAAAAAGACAGGCTCTCAAGGCTATCCAGGCCCACCAAAGCATTTCCAGGAATATCAGTGAGAAACATTCCTGCCAAAACTAAGCTTCTCAAATTTGTGAGGGGTTTAAAGTTCATATCCAAAATTCCAATTACAGGGTTTTCCCCAATCATTAGAATTTCCAGGTTGGGTGTAGAATCAAACCAGCGACTGTCAATAACTTTCAACTTGTTGGAATTCAGGTGAAGCCTTAAAAGATTTTTTAAGCCTGAAAAGGCATTAGCAGAAATGGTGCTAATCTGGTTGTGGTTGATGTAGAGTTCTTGAAGATTGCTGAGGTCTTGAAGACAGTAATCAGTCATTTCTGAAATCTGATTTTCCTCCAAATGCAGAGTAGTAAGCTGGGTCAAGTTTGCCAGTCCTACCTCCTTAATATTTGTAAAGTTGTTTTGGGAAAAATCTAGTTCAGTCAAGTTGAAAAGCTGCTGAAGTTCATCCACGGTCTTTGCAATGTTATTGCTCTGTAAGAGAAGCACTTGTGTATCACTAGAAAGGTTGCTAGGAATTCTTGTTAAGCGGAGATCATTACAATCAACAGTGGTGGCTTCTCTGTACGTGGATTGTGGCGTAAACCAGGGACGAATTTCACATACACAAAGTTGTGGACACTCATTATTTGATATGGAAGACTCAGCTAGTGAAGTCATTAGCAAGCTCAGCACCAGTCGGCAAAGTGCTGCTACTATGCTTCTCCTCGCCATTCCGGCTTGCTGAACAAGCTCTGCTCCTGACACTTGTGAGTATTAACAAAGTGTGGACACGGAACAGTGAAAAGTAAGACGGCAAGCAGAAAATGCAAACATTCAAGCAATGTCTTGGTTGAAACATACAGAATTCCAGAATCCAAAGAGATGGCTTTCTGGGCTTTTCAAGAGGCAGGAAACAATCTGAAGTCCTTTAAGTGTGTTTCTCTATTCCAGGCATGTGCACAAGTCCTCATGAGCGTTACTTCAGCCAAATCAAAGTCCAGGGAGATGTCTGAAAATTAGATTAGGAGATATGTTATGTTTCTTCCATATCTTTTCTATACTGTTAACATTTCTTTTTACTGAATTGGCATGGTCACACACAAATCTAATAAAAGAAGGTCCAAAATACATTCAAAATAACCAAATAGGCTTCTAAATATATTTTTAACAGTCTAAGATACATTCTCATTGGTGCCCTCCCTGGGTTTTAAATTATGATCCTCCTGTCTCAGCATTCTAGAGTGCTAAGATTATGTGCATTTGTCACCATGTCTAGCTTAAAGAAGCTTTTAAACTATATATTTCACTAAAGTAAAGCGAGTGTTGCTTTGCTTTTATAATTGGGATAGCACTCAATAATGGAGAAAGTCATCGAACACACACACATATACACAGATGTACATTCTTACTAGCAACACACGGAAAAGATTGCAGGTGCCATTGCTTTAAGAACAAATGTGACTTTAAAAATTGTATATTTATGGTTCCAATTGGAATATATATTTGTGGCATCAAAAAATTTCAGGGTCATTCCTAGTAAAAGTGAACTATGATAGTGTATTAGTGGCTTGATATATTATTAAAATTTATTTAATTTTAATTAGTCTCTCATGTTTCCAGGAATTCCTCCTTTTCTGAATGGTACACTGCCAACATATTCAGCCACAGCTTTTCTAGCTCTTTTTCTCTTGTAAATGGTTAATTTAAATTGACACAAGTATGAAAAGAAGACATTAGTTTTTCCTATGTACTAATAGCTGAATCTAATTTTGACAGAATAAATTTAAGGACTCTATAATACCACTAGTCTTCATTAGAAACACAAATATTAAGTGGTATAAATGTCTCATATATGTGGTTTCATTCATCAAATTGGAAAGTCACTGTCAACTTAACAGCTGTAAATCATAGATATATCACTTAATCTCTTAAAGCCATAATTTCTCCAAAAGTTAGTCATGAAAGGACCTCTCTTACAGGATTACTGAGAATTAAAAGAACCTATGGAAAGCCCTTGACACCAGTACTGACTGGGATTTATTAAAAGCTCATAAAAGTTAATTATATGTTACTATCTCATTATTATATCTCTTTTCCCTTGTATTTTAGACAAGTAGTAGTCATCAGAGGAATATTAAAGAAGGAAAGCTGAGGATATTTGATTTTTATTAAACATCATCTATTGGTTTTGTTAAGATTTTGTGAGGTTGAATATGTATTGCTCTTTAGCTTACAAAAAATTGGTAGTTAATGTTTGTAGTTTTGTAAATACCAATCAGGTATAAAAAGCTAAGCATGACAGCACACATTTGTAATTCTATCCCTCTGGGTGTCAAAGGCAGAAAGATGGCAAATTTGAACTCAGCATGAGCAATTTAGTGACTTAGCAAGAAGCTGCCTCAAAATGAGAAATAAAAAGGGGTGGGGATGCAGCTTAGTGCAAGGTCCTGGGTTCAATCTCCTGTACCAAGAAGAAAAAGGCATAATATATGCAGCGGTTGTTTTGTTTTTCCAAGACTAGGACAGTTACCAGCTAATTATTAAAAATAGAATTAATATGGTTCCTTTTTTGTCATAATGTACTTCAGCTTTGAGTAGTGGAAAAACTTTATTGACGAGTATTTTGTAGAAAGTTTCAATACAACAGTGCATATAATGTATTTACAGCCCAGTGTTGAACAAATAAAAATTGTTTTACTTTGCTATTTTTTATGCAAAATATAGCTATCTTGGGTTTAATAGAAAGTATATAATAGAAATAGCCAGTAAGTTATGTAGCTACGCCATCTTTCAGTGGAAATAAACACCTTACAGCTTTTCTGTTGTTTTAAAACATATGCAAACTTTATAATTGGTCTATGAGATAAAATCATCCAATCAAGACTCAGGCAAGCTCAAGGTAAAGTGAACGTATCATTCTATATACTGGCGGATTTCTCATCTTTGTGGGAAGGAAACAGCTGATATTCTTCTACTTCCACTTCAACTTCAATCTGGTTATTTTGACACATATTAAGTATTTGTAAAACTTTTTCAATAATATAAAACTACCTGACTCTTTTTATCAGAAATGCTGATAATTCAGAGAATCACATTTAGGTAATATTGTTATCTCCACAAATTTATTCCAGTAAGTTTCTCTTTAGAGTTATCCTAAAGCAAGCAGAAGGATCATAGTAAACATTAAGAGAATTTCTGCCACAGGTTATTCTTCAATCTGAATTCAAAATAGAAAGCCAAATGAAGAAATCTACCTTTCATACTCTTAAGATGGAATTTCAACTAATTTTTATGTTTTGGTCCCAGTTAAAAAAAGTCTTAGGAAATTAAATAGGTATTCAAATTTTATGAGAGACTACCAGAGCTGTCTATTACTATTGAAAGATAGCATTTATGGAGCTATAGTTTGAATATTACCATGAGTAACATTCTATTTTAGTTTCAATTGTATGATTTTAGATAGCTATAGTAGAATATTTAAATGTCTTTGACACATATATAGCTCTCAATAAATAAGCAAACAAAAAACCAACTAACCAGGCACAGAAACTCAGAATGTCAGAGTAGCATATTAGATATAGAAGGATCTATATGATCTAGCAAGCCCACCTCTAGGTATACATCCAAAATAATTCAAGGCAATAATTCAAGTGATATTTGCATACCCATTCTTATTGTGACATTATTCATAATAAACAAGAGGCAAAAGAAACTCAGATATAGTATTCACTGTAGATGAGGGGGTAAAAAATGTGATGTATATATAGTTAGCTCTTGGTATGTATGTATTTCACATCTGCAAATTCAAATCTATCTCCCAGGTTTTGTCTCCCAAACCTGAATTTGACTCCTTCAGAAATAAGGAATCAAACTTTGTGCACAAAAGGTTTTTAAGATATATAGACAAATAGAACAGAGAGTTCAAAAATCTTTCCCTATATTGATCTTTGTTGAAATGATCTTTGACAAAGATGACAAAGTATACAAAGGATAAAAGACAATGTCTTCCACTTATGGTGTTAACAAAAGTATCTCTGTATGAAAAGTACAATATTAGACACTTAGCTTATAACATAAACTAATATGAACTCAAAATGTGTGAATGGTGTAGCCATTATAGAAGAGAGTATGGAGTTTTCTAAAATGAAAACTATAATCTCCATATGATCTAGCAAACCCAACTCTAGGTATACATCCAAAATACTTCAAGGCAATAATTCAAGCAATATTTGCATACCCATTCTTATTGTGACATTATTCATAATAAACAAGAGGCAAAAGTAACTCAGATATAGTATGCAGTGTCAGACGAGGGGGTAAAAACATGGTGCATACATAGTTAGCTCTTAGTATGTATGGGTTCCACATCTGCAAATTCAAACCTATGACTGAAACTATTGCGAAAATAATTGTTTATGTACTAAACATATATAGATTTTGTTGTTGTTATTATTCCTTTAACATTAAATAACTACTTAAATAAAGTTTACATAATTCAATTAGGTATTAGAAGTAATTTAAAAATGATGTAAAGTACTCCACACAAGAGGATGTGCATAGATTATGTGTGAATACTACAGCATTTTATATAAGGGACTTCAGCAGGATAGGGTGAAGGAGGTCTTGGTTGATGCCAATCCCCAGGATACTGAGGGTGAATATACATACAATAGAATATTGTGCAGCTTTTTTAGTAGAGTGTCTCACTATACAGTTCAGATTTATAGTGATCCTCCTGTTTCAACCTCCCCAGCACTAGATTTGCAGATGTGTGCCACCATGCCTAGTTTCCGGGCCAGCGTGGCATGTGGTACCAGAAATCAAACCCAAATCGTTGTGCTTCCCCAGCCCTATACAGCTTTAAGAAAGAAGAATATCTATTTATATGCTATAATATAGATGAAGCTTTGGAAGGCTACTAAATCAGCTAGTAAAAAAAGGATAAATATTGTATGATTCTACGCTTATAAATTATTTGAAGAAAGAAAGGTTGCTAAAAGTTGGGGGAGAGAGAGTCAATGTCCAATGAGTATTGTTTCAGCTTTGAAAGATGAAAAGTTTCTAGAGATCTGTTGCACAACCAACGTGAATATAGTTAACGCAACTCAACTATATGCTTAAGCATGAGTAATGAGAATTTAATGTTATATATATTTTTACCAAAGTCAAAAAGAAAGTAAGTCCATCATAATTCAGAACAACTTTTATCACATGTAATTATCTTAAACTTTGCAACAAATAAAAAATTCCTGGAATGGATTTTTTTTTAAAGTAAAATGGCTCTATTTTAAGGCTGACTGGTTAAGTCCATCAAGTGTGAGAAAAAAAATGTCCTACCGATTACTAAAATGGTGCTCCACAAACAAGTCTGACAGTTTTAAGAACAACCTCTTAAATAACCTACCATGGCTTTAAAGGCCCAGAATTGGCAAGAAACGTATTTCAAAAGAGGCCCACATTATATTAATTTGATTCTTTCTCCAATGAAACAAGTTTGGGGACACTGTCCTCTGAATATAAAAATTTCAAAGGAAATGGAATGCACCATCACCAAAATCAGGGACCTTCGCCCAGACCCATTTTCCCTGTGGAATTATTTTAGATAGAATATTAATTTAACAAAACAACAACATTTGGTAGGACTTAAGAGATTGTGTTTTTATGGCATTGGGAAAAAGGAAATAGGCACAAGGAATTGATGATTGTATGAATTATTGTTATTGTTTAAAAATAAAAATCAGACAGCTCTTTGGTTGTAGAAAGAACTCTCCAGAAATACCAAATAATCTTATTCAAACTCTAGCTTCTCCACTTACTGGCTCTGTTATCTAGTACCAACTACCTAAATTCTTTGTGTTTTGCTTTGCAGAGCTAACATTAAGGTTAATTATACTTATTTAGCCATGAGAATTATAACTAAATAAATTAACCTATGTTAAATTGTTAAGCCTGCAGTGTTGCAAAGAGTCCAGCACATAGTGGGGTCTCAAACATGTCTAAAAATCTCTG